TCAATATAGAACAAAGTTATATAAATTATATATCTTAGTTGGGGGTGTGGGATAGACTTACCTCCACTTGGTGCACCCTGGGCAACGTATACTCATATGACAAAAAAGTCTATTAATTGGCAGTTGACTTCTGACTTCAAACTACCATATTCTACTACTTCCACAGTAATCATCCTACCTTTTCTCTGCCTTTGTGTTTGTCTCTTTTACAACTGTAAACCACTCTTCTGTTCCCCATCCCTCGACTTTCCGTTAATTTGATGTTCCTTCCCCCTGTGAAGCCCGAAGTCAACTAAAGGGCTAATGATAACTATCAAAACGCCTGCCATTTGAAATAAATAAATATATATATCTTAGTGACCTGTGTATATACAAGTGGCACGTTGATCCAATCATAAATCACGAGTTTGTAGAGTTTGTCTCGATAGGCCCCAAGTTCAGCTGTCAGTAATTCCACAGCGCGATCAAAGACAATGTTCTTCTCCTTATACATCTCCGTTACGAGCTCCTGAGCCCAGCAGAGTGGTAGAAAGTTAATGGGAGGCATGTTATCGGTGGCACTCTCCTCGTATAGGCGAAGTTCATCTGGAGTTATGAGGCCTTTGAGGGGAAAAAACGGGACACCTCTCAGATACTTAGGGAGAATGTTAGTTGTCTCAAAATTAGCATAGGCATATCATTGGTTGGAATCTAGACTGCTATAACTATTTTGCTAGAGGGTGAGAAAATAAACAAAAATAAAATGAAAGTGAATGACGACGAAAAAAATCTTTGGATTTCGCCAAGATGAACGACTCATGTCCAACAGGTTGACTCAATATTCAGTCTCATTCTCGGTAGTTGCTCTTGGAATCTAGATATTTACTGAAGACAAATATTTTATCAATTAAATTGATAAATTAATGTTTGTTTATGGGTTGCACAATTAAGCTAAAAAGCAATCTATGATTTAAACACAACTTATCGATCAAGTACAAAAAGAAGACTAAAAATATGAAATCACCTGATCGAAGGTAACAATTTTCATAAAGATTGATTAGAGCGAACTAGAAGTGATGAAACTATTTTTAATAGTTAGAGATTGGAGGGAGATTTTTCAAACACAATGATAAGTTTTCCGCTAAAATACTTGTGAAAGAAAGTATTGCTGAAATTCCACCAAATATGTTGAAATCATGTAAGAAATCGTAAATACTACAAATTTCAAACATCTTCAATCGGAAGCTTTCAATAATTATTCAGCAGTAACCACAAATATTAGAATAAACTATAATTTGTCAAATTTATCAACCATATCAATTATAGAACTTCCTTGAGGACAAAAATTTAAATTGAATTAACAAAAGGATTCAGCACCTGAATCTGTTTGCCATGATAGAGTTAAATGAAACTTATGCCAAAATATGGCCACAAAAATCATTGATAAAATTTACAGGTTTAAAGGAAATGAAACATACCAGCGGAAATAAGGTGTCCCAAAGTGGGAAACCGCATTCTTGCACGTGACGAGACATCGCGAGTTGTCAGGCAGAATGAGAGATTTATATAACGAATAAAGGTTCGTCTTTGCATTCGAGCTCGTTCAGTAGTTGATTGTGCATATGCATTGATGAGTAAAGTTAAGGTATCTGGCCAAGGTATCTCACAAAATTGTTCCCACCACCGTTTTACAATTGTATTAACATAGAAACCCAGAACGAAAACTACGGGTAAAAGCTCACAAACGTGATCACAGCGAAGGCAAAGATGCTCAAATTTCCTGAATATATGAATAAAAAATATGAAATAAAACACACTCTCTGGCATTCATGTCAAGGGCAAGCCGATATATGAGGGATATGGTTGTATAAAGGAGAGAAAATACGATGAACTCAAACCAAATGGCTTTGTAAACGCTTCCTTTCCATCTGAACAAAGTTAATTATTGTTATAATTGCATGCCTTAGTAATAGTTTAAGAAAGGCCGCGTAGGTTGTAGTGGCAACCGAGGCAGTATAGGAAACAGTCATTCGCTAATATGACATTTAAAAAATTTATAAACGCACTGAAAAAGAAATGTAGATGTATAAAACACATCAAGGTTAATCGTGTAAAAGACTTAACTGTAACAAAGCAAAATATACCCATGCAATTTTTATATATACATTATGTATATATTTAAGATCAACACTAAAAGACAATGATAAACATCTTATTTCTCAATTACAAAATATTTTTGATGCAGTTAGTGCAATCTCCAATTAAACTAAATTGATCTCTATTACAAGCAAAATTTTGACACCTATTTGCATAATTATACTAATATTTTGGCAAAAATAGTTCATGCTACAAAATAGTCATATATTACTTACTCTGATTAATGCGAGTACTGTAAGTTTTTTTCCCAGTAAAATAGTTTTCGACTATTTTCAAGGGTTACTCTTCGTTTGAAAGTTCTTACACGAAAATTGTTAAGCGTTTGAAAGGAAGATATTAAGGTCTCTGTGCGATTCAATGAGAGATGTTTGTAAGTGGACACAATTAGTTAGTTCCAAAATACTAGATCGCAAATATCTCAATCGGGTAAAGAAAATTAGCCTTAAACCAACCTTTAAACAAAATATATTTGGAAGTTGAACATTTTTATTCTTTAGCGATTGCTACACTTGTTAAGCCAGACTGACTCAGAAATTTCTGTGGCAGGTTCTCCTACATCTAGCTAGACTCTCAGAACTAGCTAGGCTATAGCCCAGCTATAGAGGAAACGGATGTATAGCACGGAACACGGTTATGCAGTAAGGATATCGTGGGTAAAGTGTACACTCAGGGGGCTTAGTCATAATCAGCGTAGGGGGTTAGGTTAAACAAGCGGAGGCTTCTGATTGGTCACTTGTTGTACGGTTGTCTGCACGGAGAGTTGTGCGGTCGCACCTCCCGATCCTCCATGCATGCATGCGATGACGCATTAAGCGATGACGTATCCCACAAGTCAGGCGGTGGTCAGATTTGTTTGTTCTTTACTGAAGGGTTCTCTATCTGCCCATATTTGTATATATAAGCGAATTAATAACCAAATCCGAGTTAGGTATAACTTTGGTTGGGCAGATTCGAATGCATTCTAACAAATGGATGCCAACTTACCTACTTTCTTGAACAAAATCTGAGAGGCCTTAGTCCAAGCTATTAACAACGACAAATAGATCCTTCTCTAGCAAAGCTCCACTTTGAAGGTCAGCTAAAATAGAATCGAAAGAAAAGAGACAAATATTTAATAAATCGCACATTTACTTCATCCGATTTGATGCTTAAAAGAAGCTGATGTTACGCAAACACTCTTGGTGGTTATAATTATATTATGTATGAAAATATTCTATAAAACTAAGTACCACAGATGAAGCAGTAAAATTTAGAGCTCAATTCGATAAAATAACACTTTGTATTTATATAAAGATATGTGTAATTTCAGTAAAAAATTGAGTTTTATACTTTTATAAAAAGCTAGTTTTTCAATGACTTGCTCATGAGCACTTTACTCAATAAAATATTTGTCAATTAATATTCTAATGACCAAGTCCAAATTAAGAAATGGGAAATTTGCTTCTTATACATCTTCTTCATCATTGTTAACATTTCCGAAATGCCATATTTGATCTAACATTGAATAATCTGATGGCGTTTTTAATCAAACTGAACTCTAACTAACGCTAATGTGTTTCATTTTCTTTATGTTTGGGCAGTTGAGATATTTGTATAATTTCTGGCATTGCATCCCCAGATAAGGTGAGAATTAAATGCAATGGCGATTCCATTTTTTATATTTTACACCAAGCAATTGCTGTTAAATTTCTAAAGACTAAATCCCATAGCGCATGCGCATAACTGCACCGATCTTACCACTGCAATAAGTTAATTAACATGTATTTTCAAACGGGAGACACTGACAAGATGGAATATTTAGGCAAGTAGTGGGTCCCTACAAATGTCTGTCAACTTACTAGTCAAATGGTTGGATATTATAAAAAACAAGCCCATTATTCCAAATGACATAAAAGTGACATAATTGTCAAATTTAATTTTAGATGAAATATGAACTCCCAAAATGTTAGAAATATATTCATAACCATTTTGAAGCAAATTTTGATCTAGATATTTAATTTGATCTTTAATGTCCTCTGGAGATGGATTAATTTTGTCTATACATTGATTAACCGCTTCTTCTAATTTTAGTCATGCTTTTTTCTGATTGGCTAGTATTTAGTAAATAGTGTGGTCGCGATTCACCTCGGCGCAGTACGTGCTGTTTTTTGTCTTAAATTTAATTTCTATCTAACTCAAAATGTAACTTTAGAAGGAATTAATCACGAATTTTTTATCGAATTAAATTTTTAAATCGTTAAGGCTTATGTGAATTTCTTATCTGTTTTTTTCCAATAACTATATTGATATTAATCCAGTCCTGTATTCTCACTGACATTCAAGTGCATAGCTTCATTCTATGCTTGCCTTTCAGTCATGCCAATCGTATCTATACCTGAGAAGGTTTTATTTCAAAGACTCGGCCGTGATTCTGGTAAGTCCATTGTTTAATAATCTCATTTCGTCAATATTTTTTAGTTGAGAGCGGGTTCGAGGATCTCTGCTTTGCCTATGGTTTGGAACTTGATGAAATCGTAGGTTAAGTCACTTTCATTGATTCGTCTCTTCCAGACCTCAGAACAAGAATTGGCTGCTCGTGAACATGGCACAACAATTGTTCCGAATGAAATCTCTGAGAAAATTTACAAAGTTGAAGTGCCAGCTAATCGATATGATCTACTTTGTGCTGAAGGACTTACGCGAGCTCTGCTCATCTTTCAAAACATGTAAGGGCTATTTTTTTGAAGTCATCTTTTGGCTTCTCTTCCCTCATGTTTTTTCGTTTATTACTCTTTGTTTTAGGTTCAAATCTCCCATTTATAAAGCAATTAAACCAAGCCAAATCATTCAAATGACTGCCACCGAAAAAGTTAGCTTAGCACCTTTTTATCAATATGGACTTATTTATTTGTAAACTTAATTTTTTTCTTCATTTGTAATATAAGACAAAATTGGTGCGTCCATTCGTAGTTGCTGCCATTCTGAGGGACATAACCTTCAGTGAAAAGAGTTTTGCGAGTTTTATTGATCTACAAGACAAATTGCACCAAAACATTGGCAGGTTAGTTTGTTCTAGCTGTTATAACTTTTTAGCTCTTTTTACTACCATATTGACCGCGCGTTTTACCTATTCTTACGTTTTATTTAAACGTCATCTTTATCGTTTTTTTCTTATAAAATGGAATAGGCTGTTTAGGATGTATTCTATAAACGTTTTGACCTTTGTTACTTGGCTGCAGGCGCTGCAATTTATCGATCTCGAACTTACGCCACTGGCTCATTCTAAACTTCGAGACGATTTTATTTTCGTGATATTTTTGGATATCAATCTTCATGGAATACACTTTTTCAAGGTCTTTTCTTAGGTTCTAACAAACTACCATTGTAGGTTGGTATTTAAATCTCATGAATCGTTTTTCTCTCACTTAACGTTCGCTTTTTTACTATATTTCAATAAATTATTTCCGACCTTAGTGGATAATTTAATAAGCTTCTCTGATTGGTAATTTTTATTGATTCGGTTGTTCTCTTGGTTGTTTTAGTATCGTTTCATGTGAAATATTATGCGACAATTTTCGTGTATGATTTAAATTCGATTTTTTCTAATCTTGTAATTATTTATTAACTATACGTGTGTAAATGGTCTAGGTTTCTCTCGATCGATAATAAGCTGCATGCTCATTTGGTAGTCTAATCCGTTTTCGCTTTTATTTCCAATAGAAAGCGCAGTTTGGTCGCTATTGGAACCCACGACTTGGACACGCTGAAGCCCCCATTCGTGTACACTGCTTTGCCACCGAAGGATATTCGTTTCAAGCCACTGAATCAGACCCAGGAATTTACAGCTGAAGAACTGATGGAGCTCTACTCCGTAAGTTCGACCCCCCCCCCATTTTATTGATGAGTGATATTTGCTTCATTTACTAAACCCCTCTTTTTTAGAAAGAGTCGCATTTGAAGCCCTACTTGGAGATAATTCGTGGCAAACCTGTTTTCCCAGTGATTACAGATGCCAACGGAGTTGTCTTGTCTATGCCTCCCATCATTAATGGTGAGCTAATTTTGATTTTTTTCATATTTCAAATTAAATAATTGCTTAAAATATATATATACTATTTGAAAGAATTACCATAATTAGTTTGATTTTTTAATTCAGGCTATAATCATCCAATCACGCTTCTGCGCAGAAAATAAAACACTAATTGACCTGAATAACTTAGTGAAACGATGACTAGAGAAACTATTATCTTTTTAAACAATACCTAATTGTATTACATTCCTCAGGTGAACATTCTAAGATTTCCGTGTCAACTAAGAACGTGTTCATTGAATGTACAGCGACGGACCTAAACAAGGCCAGTATTGTGTTAGACACAATTGTCTCCATGTTCTCTGAGTACTGCTCTGAGCCTTTCACGTGAGTTTTTGAGACATTTTCTTTGTGATTCGCTTTGTGTATCTTTATTTTTGGTTTTAATAAAATTCAAGTTCCCTACTTTTGTACGCCCCATCGGAAAATAGGATGAGTGATATTGTTATTATTATTTATTTATTTATATCAAATGGCAGGCGTCTTGATGGTTATCATTAGCCCTTTAGTTGATTTCAGGCTTCACAGAGGGGAGGAGGAACATCAAATTGAAAAAGTCGAGAGGGGGGGGGGAGG